TGGGGGGGGGAGGGGAGTGACCCCCCCCAAACCCCCCCCGGCAGCATCAGGGCCCCCCCAAACCCGGGGGGGTCCCAGGGGGGCTCAGGGGGCGTCGCCTTGTCCCTTGTGGAAGAGATAAATCGGCCTCTGGAAGCCTGGGGGGGGGGAAAAGGGGGGTCAGGGGGGATCCCCGAATTCACACCCACCTTTTGGGGGACCCCCCCACCCCAAAACACCCCCCAGATCTGGGGTCTCGCCCCATCCAGACCCTGAATCCACCCCGGAACCCCCCTGGATTTGGGGTGTTCCCCCCTCCCCTTTGGAGCTGTGCTGGGGGGGTCAGAGGGTATTTTGGGGGTCAGGGGGTATTTTAGGGTTCGGGGGGTATTTTAGGGTTCGGGGGGTACTTTGGGGGTCTCTCTGCCCTTTGGAGCTGTGCTGGGGGGGTCAGGGGGTATTTTGGGGGTCAGGGGGTACTCTGGGGTCTCCCTCCGCTTTGGAGCTGTGCTGGGGGGGTCAGGGGGTACTCTGGGGTCTCCCTCCCCTTTGGAGCTGTGCTGGGGGGGTCAGGGGGTACTTTGGGGTCTCCCTCACCTTTGGAGCTGTGCTGGGGGGTCCCCAGGAGCTCGCAGCGCTCGAAGCCCACCTCGGGGGAGGTCAGGTAGGCCGGGAACTGCTCCGGCCGCAGCCGGATCCGTTGGTAATTCCGGAACGTCGTCTCCTGGGGTGGGGGGGGGGGCAGGGGGTGAGACCCCAAACCAACAACCCCCCCAAAAACGCCTTGTGGGAAACCCCAGAGCCAAAACCCTCCCCCAGGGCTCACAGACCCCCTCAGACCCCACAAAGATGCTCCCAAACCCTCCGGTCACCCCCTCCCACCCAGGACCACCCTTTAAACCCCCAAACCCCCTCAGGGCTGCCCCAAACTCCTCTGTAACGCCCCAAACCCCCCCCGTGCCCCCCTTAAACCCCCCCAAAAATGCCCCAGACCCTCCCAAAACCCCCCAGGACCCCCCCCAGACTCACGGTGAGCCCCTTGCGCTTGCGGTAGGACCCCCAGGGCTGGGGCTCGAGCACCAGGAGCCCCCCCGGGCGCAGGTGCCTGAAGGCCCTTCGGAAGAGCCGCTTGAGCCCCTCGTCCCCCCAGTTGAGCTGCACCCACTTGGTGAGCGAGAGCAGCAGCACCACGTCGAACTCGGGGCGCTGAGCCTGCACCAGCTCCTCCCGCTCCGGCACGTAGTTACCCTGGGGGGGACACCGGGGGCTCTCAGGGGGGTGGGGGGCACCAGAAACTCCCCCTGAGGGGCTGGGGGGCACCAGGAACCCCCCCTGAGGGGCTGGG